ACAATCTCGCATTGCCACCTAGTTTATCTATAGTTCATCTGGGTTTCCATGTGTCCATGCTCCGGAAGTATCACGATGATCCGTCCCATGTGTTAGATTTCAGCTCTATCCAGTTGGACAAGGATTTGAAGAAGAGGTTATGAAAGAGACTGAGGATGCACCGGAACCGACAGTAGAAGCAGTGCTTGAACAAGAAAAAAACCAAATCACAGGGAAGAAGCAACCTCCAGCATCATTCCCACAGAGATTGGCCATCTTGGAGATGTTGAAGAAAATTCAGGTAAACATTCCATTGATTGATGTTTTAAAGGAGATGCCTGGTTATGCGAAGATGATGAAGGACTTGATGTCCCGCAAGTTCGACTTTCAAGACTTGGCCACGGTTATACTGACTCAGACCTACAATGTTGTTGTGACGAGACCTATAGCTGAGAAGTTATCTGACCCAGGGAGTTTCACAATCCCGTGCACAATAGGCACTATGTGATCTGGGAGAAAGCATAAACCTTATGCCCCTAGATATCTACAAAAGTCTAGGCATTGGAAGAGCTAGACCCACGTTTATGCTACTACAACTGGCTGACCGAATAGTGAAGAGGTCCTTTGGGATTCTAGATGATGTATTGGTGCAGGTTGGGAAGTTTTTGTTCCCAGCAAATTTTGTCATCCTTGACTGTCAGGTTGAAAAGGAAATTCCCATAATTTTGGGAAGACAATTCTTGGCCACTGGGAGAGCCTTAATTGATTGTGAAACTAGAGAGCTCAAGATGGGATTAATTGATGAAGAGATAACATTCAACGTGCAAAAATCTATGCGGAGACCAAGTGAATTTGCTAATTGCTCTCTAATAGATGCGGTGGATATAGTCCTGTATGAGGAAGATGAATCTTTGAGCATTAAAGACCCTCTTGCAGCTTGTCTCATGAACTTAGATGAAGCTAATGGTGAAGACTTGGCAGAGTGGGTACTTGCTCTTAAAGGCCAAGGTTTTTGTAAGAGGGAGCTTGAATTTGAGCCTTTGAATTTAGAGGAAAGAAAAACTCCTCTAGCTAAGCCGTCAATAGAAGAGCCACCAAAATTGGAACTGAAGCCATTGCCATCCCATCTTAGGTATGCATTCTTAGGACTTGACTCAACTTTACCTGTTATTATCTCAGCTAGTTTGTTAGATGTGAAGGCACAACAACTTTTGCAAGTACTAACTGAATGCAAGACTTTAATTGGGTGGACTATTGTAGACATTAAGGGGATCAACCCGGCCTTCTGTATGCATAAGATTCTACTGGAAGATGGGTGCAAACCTTCTAGAGAACATCAAAGAAGGTTGAACCACAACATGAAAGAAGTGGTGAAAAAGGAAGTGATTAATGTGGGAATCATATTTCCCATCTCTGACAGTAACTGGGTTAGCCCAGTGTAGTGTGTACCAAAAAAGGAAGGTATGACAGTAGTGAAAATGAGAAGAATGAGTTGATCTCTACATGAGCAGTCACAGGTTAGCGAATCTGTATGGATTACAGGAACTTGAACTTGACTACAAGGAAGGACCATTTCCCAATGTTATTCATTGATCAGATGCTAGATAGATTGGCAGGGAGGTCTCACTTTTGCTTTCTGGATGTGTACTCGGGGTATAATCAGATTTCTATTTTCCCGGAGGATAGAGAGAAAACTTCGTTCACCTGCCCTTATAGAATCTATGCTTTTCGGCAAATGCTGTTTAGCCTATGCAACACACCTGCCACATTCCAAAGGTGCATGATGACCATATTTATAGATATGGTAGAGAAAATAATGAAGGTTTTCATGGATGACTTCTCAGTGGTAGGGAATTCATTCGATGATTGCCTTGTGAACTTCAGGCGAATTTTGAATAGGTGTATCGAGACTAATCTGGTACTCAGTTGGGAAAAGTGCCATTTCGTGGCACATGAAGGCATAGTCTCGGGGCTCCTAGTGTTAAGTAAAGGTATTGAGGTGGATCGTGCAAAGGTTGATGTGATAGAAAAGCTTCCACCAACCACCTCCGTCAAAGCAATCACAAGTTTTCTTGGGAACGCCAGTTTTTATAGGAGATTTATAAAAGATTTTTCCAAAATTGCTAACCCCTTGTGTAAATTGCTTCAAAAAGATCACCCTTTTGTGTTTTCTGATGACTACAAGGTAGCTTTTGAGGAATTAAAGACGAGACTGGTAACAATAGCTATCATAGTTGTGCCCGACTGGGAGCAACCATTTGAGATGATGTGTGATGCGAGTGACTATGCTGTGGGAACAGTTCTTGGGTAGCAAAAAGATAAGATCATGCATCCAATATACTACGCAAGTAGAACGCTGAGTGGAGCCCAGCTAAATTACACTATGACCGAGAAGGAGATGTTGGAAGTGGTGTTCGCTTTTGACAAGTTCAGGTCATACCTGATAGGCTCGAAGGTAATTGTTTTTTTACTGACCATGCTACTCTCAGGTACTTAATTGAGAAGAAGGAGTCAAAACCGCACTTAATTCGATGGGTTCTACTGCTACAAGAATTTGAATTGGTGATTTGTGACCAAAAGGGAACGGAGAACCAAGTAGCTGACCATTTATCTAGGCTTCAAGGATATGAAATGAAGGTTGAGGTAGAAGAAATTCTAGAAACTTTTTTAGATGAACAACTGCTAGCCACGAGTCTCGAGGAAGTGCCATGGTATACAGACATTGCAAACTACCTGGCGAGCGGTATTGTTCTTTATGACCTTTCATCTGCTCAAAAGAAAAAGTTCTTTCGTGATTATCGCATGTATTATTGGGATGAGCCTTATCTATTCAGGATTTGTGTTGATAACATGATCTGGATATGTATCCCTGAGATAGACCATTCTTCTATTTTGTAGGCATGTCACGTATCACTATATGGTGGGCACTTCGGGGGAGTAAGGATAGCTGCGAAAGTCTTGGAGTCGAGGTTCTACTGGCCAATACTGTTCAAAGATGCACATCTATGCATAAAGGGTTGTGACGAATAACAACGAACTGGGAACATTTCCCGCAGACATGATATGCCCATGAACCCAATTCAGGAGGTAGAAGTGTTTGATGTATGGGGAATCGACTTCATGGGGCCTTTCGTCAGCTCATATGGCAACAAGTACATACTCGTCGCTGTGGATTACGTGTCCAAATGGGTAGAAGCTACAACACTCCCTACAAATGATGCAAAGGGGGTAATTGGTTATTTAAGAAAGAACATATTCACCCGATTTGGCACCCCAAGGGCAATAATTAGTGATAGAGGCACTCACTTTTGTAATTGAGCCTTTGCAAAGTTGTTAGAGAAGTATGATGTACGCCACAAGGTGGCCACCCCATATCATCCACAAACAAGCGGGCAAGTGGAAGTCTCGAATAGAGAAATAAAGAGTGTGCTGGCTAAAACTGTGAATGCAACTAGAACAGATTGGGCGAAGAAGTTAGATGATGCACTTTGGGCGTATCGAACCGCTTTCAAAACTCCAATTGGCATGTCGCCCTACAAGTTGGTGTTTTGGAAGGCATGTCATTTACCAATAGAGTTGGAGCATAGAGCTTGGTGGGCGTTGAGACAATTGAATCTTGATAGTGAAGCTGCAGGAACAAGTAGAGTAATAGAGTTGCACGAGCTTGATGAGTTTAGATATCATGCTTTTGAGAGAACAAGATTATACAAGGATATAATAAATATGATACATGGTAGGAATATTATTGAGCGAAATTTTAAACATGGAGATACAGTATTGCTATACAACTCACGTCTGAGGTTGTTTCCATGCAAATTGAAGTCACGATGGTCAGGGCCTTTTCGTGTGGTTGAAATTCAGCCAACAGTTGCTGTAGAGATTGCTGCGAGTAATGACTCTCGCACGTTTAAAGTCAATGGGCATAGGTTGAAATATTATGTGGGCATGGAGGAAGCAAAGGAAGTGGCAGTGACCCATTTGATCGAGCCTCCACAGTTGAGCGTACTTTAAATACGCTAATATGCGTCGTGCCGCGACGTTAAATCAGGAACTTCATGGGAGGCAACCCATTAATTTGTTGTATTCGTCGGGGTTACGTAAGTATCCCAGAGGTAGGCTTAAACATAACAAAAAAATTGGACGCCTAATCCGCGGCCACGAATCTGACCGTGGATCAACCACAGATTTTGCAAATGTTCTGTCCGCTGCCGCGGATCTGACCACGGATCCGGCCACAGACCTGGCGAAGTCAGGTATCAAATTTTAATATTTTTTATTTTCTTCCCCCCCTCACCCCCTTTTAATTAGAACCCCTCCCCTTCATCCCATTCCCCGTTCTTTTATTCCCCCCCGCTTACCAATAACAACAACACAAAAATAAAACAAAACCCTCCCCCTTCCCCTTATTCTAATGGAACCCCTTCCCCTTCTTCACCAAATCCCCTTCTCTTCTCCCTCGTCTCTACTCACCCACTCTTCCATCTCCGGTCATCACAAGGTTTTCAAGTAAGTACATGATTCTCTCTTTTGTTTGTTCTTTTCGATTTTTTCTTTTCTTTTCATTCTTTGTCTCTTCTATTATAGGTGTAAGAAAGTGGAAATCTAGGTACTCTTATATATGTGTATTTGTTGGCATAATTATTGATATGTGAGGATATTAGGTTGGTTGGTTTGGAAAAACATTGTTGAGTTGTGAGGAATGAGGGTTTAATTGGGTCCTTTGGTACATTGTGGGGCATATGTGTGAGCACGTGATTTTTTCCCTATATGAGAATTACTCCCAAAATTTCAAAACAAAACAATTTTCCTTTGTGTGCAATTTTTGTGTTCTTCGTGGCATTTATGTGTAATTATTTGCATTTTTGTCTATGCATGTTTATTTGTTAGATTAATAAAAAATTTAAAAATATGTCGCATTTGAGTTTCATATTTAATTAAGTTTGTTTACAAAATGAAAAAATCATAAAAATAATGTACGTTGCATTTTTAGCACTTATTGTCCAAATTGTGTGNGATCTTGCCACTGCGTCCATTGCTTTGCTTCTTCTTCCTCGTCACATGCTGCCCGCCATGGCTGCACCTACAGCTCTTCAAAATGATAAAAAGATCCCATCACTGCTGTCCGCCATGGATGCGTCTCCAAGCTCTTCAAACGAGCACGAGATCCCGTCGCATTGCTGCCCGTTGTTTCTTCTTCTTCGCTCGTCGCTACTGCTGCTTCTCCTTCTTCATCCGTCGAGTTGCTCCAGCCATGACTGCTGCCCGGTGCTACTGTTTCTCCTCCATGTTTCACGTCGTTGTTGGCCTTCTCCGCTCGTCGTTGCTACTGTTTTCTTCTTCAGATCGTCACCTGTTTGTTGCTTCTTCTTCTCCGACGCTGCTGCTGCGTTTCTCCATTGTTGTGGCTGCTGCCCGTGTTGCTTCTTTGTCGTCATCACTGTTACGACGCTTCTGCTGCTGCGTTTCTTCACTGTTATGGCTGCTGCGGCGTTTCCTTCTTCGTCCTCTTCCAAACGACCAAACTACTTTCCATTCGAGTTCGTCGTCGCTTCGATCCGGTTAGTGGGTTTGAGTTTCATTTTGTCCGTATTTTGTTTTGATATTCTCGGATCTAAAATCGTTAAATGTTTGATTCTTGTTTTGTTCGTGTTTATCATTTAATTAATTAGTTTTTCCGTTTATTTCATGTGTTTTTATTTAATTTGTAAAAGAAATTGTTAGTTTAATTTTAATGTTGTTAGATTCAAATTGAAATTGTTAAGTTTAATTGTTAGTATGTGAAAGAAATTGTTAGCTTAATTTTAATTTAAAAGAAATTGTTAGTTTTAATTTTTAATGTTGTTAGAATCAAATTGAAATTTAATTACTTATTTTTGGTTTGTTTCATGTTAATTTCGTTTATTTGTGTAAAAAAGGAATTGTTAGTTTAATTTTAATGTGGTTAGATTCGAGTTGAAATTCAATCAATTATTTCTTCTTCGGTTTATTTTTATTCGTTTAAAATAATTTAGTTGTAATATAGAAATATGTTAGTTTAATCACTTGAATCATCCATTTTATTGATTAGTTTAGATTAAATTCGTGTTCATCTTTTGGTTGAAGTTCGTTCTTAATCCGGTGATTTAATGTGAATTTATGTTTTAAATGCTTGATTTAATTTGAATATTCATCTTGGTTGTAATGTTGTTAGATTTAGTTTAAAGATCAATTGGCTATTGAATTTAGAAACTCAAATCTATTTGTTGGTTATGTTGAATTTGTTAATATTGTTGAATCTGCAAATATATGTGTTGTTAAAAATATCGTTCAGTCAAAATAATTCCGGTTGTTAATTTGCTGTTCATAGTTTAAGTTTGAATTTGTTGATTGAACTGGATTAAGGATTGGTTATAGCTGGTAATTTAATTTTAGGTTCTTAGATAATTTTTAAGTTGAACAGATTTTTGAATCGGGGCATAACAGTAGTTTTAGGGGTAAAACGGGAATTAACCAATTACAGATTATTTAATTATGGTGGGGACCAGACATAATGATAAAAGCAAAAAGGAAAAGGTGGGTAATGATGTCTTCTTTTCAAAAAGAGAGAACATAGGGGGCCCACTTTGACTACTTTTCAAAAATAGGGAATACGGGGGGCCCACGTTGACTACTTTTACTAAAGTAAAAGTGTGAGTAATAATAAAAGTAAAAGGGTGCACATAGTGAAAGAATATTGGGTCTTGCTTTGGGTATATAAGAGACTCATTTTGACACTTAAAAAAAAGGGAGAAGAATTTTGGGAGAGATAAAAATTTCAGAACTAAAGAGGAGATACGAACATACTTTTAATCTTGAAGAAGAGGATTTCTAAAATATCCAAATACTATTTCCGTGTATTCCGGAGTGTGATCTCTGCCTACTGTTTGCTTCCGGGATTTTCAATTGGCTTCTTGAGTTAACTGTTGGTCCTTTGTTATTGCTTTATTGAGTGGTTGCTGGAATTTCTGTTTGGTTTTCAAGTCTACTGTTGGGTTTTTCTGACTGCTGGTTGTTTGTTGTTGTTGCGCTGTTTCTACTGCTGCTGATCATATTCTTCCTTTCCTTGTATTCAAATACCAGGTACACGACTGTAATACTAGCTATTGCAAGCTGAAAAATGTGAAGCATGAATACATGAAGAATGGAACTTTGAAGTTTTAATTTCGCTTTTTTATTCGTTTCTTTAACTGATTGTATTTAGGCTATTTCATGTATTACTGTTTAATAACTGGAATAAGAGAAAAATAACATAAGTTGGTCTTTAGTGAATCAGCTTGGCAAAAATGGGTTAATTCACTAGCTATGAAAGTTTTAATATGGTCAACAGTAGGTCAATCATGAATGGATAGTTAAATTTAGTTAAAGCCAAACAAGACTAGATAATGTTTAAGTTTAATAATCTTTCTAATAAGCTTTAGTAATTGTGGTTAAATCTAGTTTCAAATGGTTATGAATAATTAATTCCAATAGTTGTTTTTTTATATATAACAATGCGAGCTTCAATCTAGCTATATTTGATTTCTTTTGAATATTAGTTGTCGAATTTCTTATTTTGTTTATAATTTCGAATTTTTTTTTCTCTTTAAAATTCTTTCATTTAATATTGGTCATAATCTAGCAATTAGTATGTTACATGTTCTTAATTTTTCTAACTCCTAATTAATTAGGATTTTCTTTCTTTATTTTAGAGACTAAACTTAATAGAAAAATGTAGTCATTCTAAGATTATCTTTTTTTTAAAAAAAATAAAATAAAATAAAATAAAGAATAATAAGACGAGCCTCGCCAAATAAAAATGCAAATTGCGGGGCCCTCACAAAATGTATGTGTTAATTA